GAGAGAGAGAGAGAGAGAGAGAGAGAGAGAGAGAGAGAGAGAGACAGCAAAAGAGGGAACACAAGCAGGGGGAGTGGGAGAGGGAGAAGCAGGCTTCCCGCCGAGCAGGGAGCCCGTCGCGGGGCTCGATCCCAGCACCCTGGGATCATTCCCTAATGACTGAGCCACTCAGGCGCCCCTCCCATTTCACTGTTGAGTAAAAGCCAGAGTCTTTACTTGGCTTCATATGGTCCGGGCTTCTCCAATCTCTTTGGCCTTATATCCCACATACTCTCCACTTGCCATCTGACCTGCCTGTTCTCAGAACATGCCAGGTACATCCCCTGTGCAGTGGCGCCCCTTCGGTATGCTCTTCTATATACACCAGGCACCCCCTCCCTTCCTTGAGGTCTGTGCCCAACACTCAGAGGCTCTGCCAGACTTCCCCCATCCCTCGAGAGGAGACTGCAGCTCCCGCCTCCCCAGTGTTTGCCAGCCCTCTTCCTGCCTTCCCACCACAGCACACAGCACAACCTGCCACTCTCTAAAGAAGAGAGATTTGTCTTTTTTCGTGCACTTCCCTATTCCCAGCACACAGCGCTCAATAAATATCTGTTGAATGAAAAATGGAACCAGTCTCTTCAGTTTTCTCCTACCTTTACAAACCCTGTGTTTTAGGCAAACCAACCGATACACGTACGTGCTTGGCTAACACATACCTCCCCATGCCCTGATCGCGCTACTCCTTCTTCCTCTGTTCAGCTTACACAAGATCCTACCCATTCTTCAAGCTCCACTTAAATTCCATCTTCTTGGTGAAGCCTTCACAGGCTTTAGATCAACTAAACTCCAAGTGGTACCTTCCTTCCCTGAATTCTAAAACACACATCTGTCCATTCTTAAAACCCTCAGGAAGTTATTTACTGGTGACTGTTCATAATTTAAATTTTCTATAAATGTATTTTCTCTATTAGACAGTAAGCTGCTTGAGGATCCTTCCCAGCCTCTAAAACACCTAATACAGTATCATGCACAGAATAGGTCCTTAACAAATATTACCTAACTGATCAAAGGAGTTTCCTGGTGATATAAAAATACTTTTAAGCGGTACACAAAAGACATTAAAAAAAGTTACAGTCTACCTCACACCATATACAAAGATTTACTCAAAATGGATAACAGACCGAAGTCTAAGAGCTAAGACTAGAAAACTTTTAGAAGAAAACACAGGTTGTAAAAGCTTCATGATCTTAGATTTGGCAACGATTTTTCAAGCTATGACACCAAAGCACAAACAACAAAAGAGAAACTAACTAATCTGGATTTCATCGAAATTAGGAACTTTTTCCTTCAAGGAAATGAAAAACAACCCACAGAATGGGAGAAAATTTTTGATTATCCTGTATCTGATACGGGACTTGTATCTGGAGTATATAAAGAACTCTTACAACTCAACAAAAAGACAAAGAACCCAATTTAAAAATGAGCAAAGGATTTGAATAGACATTTTGCCAAAGAAGATACAAATGGTCAATAAGCACATGAAAAGATGCTCAACATTAGTTATTAGGGAAATGCAAATTTAGGCAATGAGATACCACCTCATAACCACTAGGAGATTGGAAAAATAGGAAAGACAATAATAAGTGTTGTAAAGAATGTGGAGAAACCGCAGCCCTCATACATTGCTGCAGGAACTGTAAATGATGCAGGCACTTTAGAAAACAGTTTGGTAGTTTCTCCAAAAGTTAAACATATAATTACCATATGATCTGGCAATTCCACTCATAGGTATATGTCAAGAGAATTAAAAACATGTACACACAAAAACCTGTACATGAATGTCCACAGCAGCATTATATATAACAGTGAAAACATGGACACAATCTTACGGAAGCAGTGCCCACCGATAGGTGAATGGATAAAGAGGATACAGAATACACATACAACGGAATACTACACTCCATTTCTCTTAAAGAGATCTTGCCATTTGTGACAACGTGGATGGACCTAGAGAGCATCATGCTAAGTGAAATATCAGACAGGCAAAGACAAATAATGATACAATTTTACTTATATGTGGAATCTAAAAAAACAAAACAAATGAACAAAAGAGGCAGAAACAGACCCATAAATACAGAGAACTGGCGGTTGGCAGAGGGGTGGGGGATGTGCAAGATGAAAGGGAGTGAGGTACAGGCTTTCCAGCTGTGAAATGAGGAAGTCACAGGGATGAAAGTCAGTGGGAATACAGTCAGTGGTACATGACAGTGCTGTATGGTGATGGATGATTGCTACACTTACGGTGAGCTAGTGTAATGTATAAAGTCGGCATACAGAGTTACAGCATCACTATGTTGTACACCTGAAACTAATGGGATGCTGTATGTAAACTATACTCCAATTAAAAGAAAAAAATGAAAACCACCCAGATCTCAATCGACTGGCAAATGGATAAATAAAATGTGGCATAGCCGTACAATAGAATATTTGGCCAAAAGAAGGTATGAGGTACCGGGGCGCCTGCCTTTGGCTCAGGTCATGATCCTGGAGTCCTAGGATCGAGCGCTGCATCGGGCTCCCTGCTCAGTGGGGAGTCTGCTTCTCCCTCTCCCCCTACCCCCAGCTCGTGTTCTCTCACTCTCCTAAATAAATAAAATCTTAAAAAAAAAAAAAGGTATGAAGTACTGATATATGCTAAAACACGGGTGAACCTTGAAAATATTCTGCTGGGTGAATGAAGGCAGCCACACAAGGCTACCTACTGTATGATTTCACTGTATGATGTCTAGAATAGGCAAATCCAGAGACAGGAAGTAGATGAGTGATTCCGACTACGGCTGAGGGATGGGGAGAAGAGTATTTTAAAATGTTCACTTGAAAACACATAACAACTCATCAAACTTGTGATTTCTAGGATATTATCACTTAAATTAAGACTATATTTAAAAAGAGAATTAAAAAAAACCTTAGATTATAAGGCAGGTAGTGATCTGAAAGTAAAAAAAAAAATCACGGAGGTTGTGTAAAAATCTTTAAAATCTGGAAAATAACAGAATACTAGATGCAAGGAGGGGCCTCCTAAATGTACAGATTTCTTCATTCAATCTTTGGTTTTATCATCAGTTTCTATTTGATTTTTCACAAAGGTCTGCTATTTTTACTTGACAGATAAACCTTGAAGAAAATGAATACCGCTTAATGACAACAGATGCTCAGCGAAATGTTTGACCAAAGACGAAAGTTTGAAGGAGGCAAAAGACCATATGCTGCTTATCTAAGAATTGGCTCTAAAGAAAGGAAGTAGTGCCGAGTACCCGGATACCCCCCCACACAGTACTTTACCTTCAGTGCGCCTCTTCTTGGAGCGGGGGTAGCTCTGGGAGCTGGCCTCTGCTGTGTTCTCCACAGGGCTGAGGGAGTGGCAGTAGGTGGTGACTGGACCCCAGGGACCATCAGGTGACTGGGAGACCCGCTGCAGACACTTTTCCAGGTAGGACCGCCTAAGGAAGGGGTGGGATGAAGAGGCTGAGTTGCCTGCTGGGCCCTCACCATTCCCTTCTTCCCCAATCCACGTGATTATCCACCCACCCACTAACTTACAGCAGCTGCTTGTCCTGATGGAAGAGTCGGGGGGAAAACTCGGAAAGGAGCTCCAGGAAAGCCAGGTTCGGGGGCTGACCAGAGGAGCCAGCTGGAGGAAGCTCAGACAAGGAGAATTTGATGCCTTCCCTTGGTTGAGCAGAATTATTTTAGGAAGATAGTCCCTCCTCACTTCCCTCCCAGGGCTGAAACATCCTGTCCAAGTGCACCGTGCCCGTCCCCAGTTTGTCTCCCAGAGAATACCCACTGGCCAAACTGACTGCTCCTCCTCAACATGCTTATCCCTCCGTCCAAGACCAGACTTCCAGTTCTCCCTGTACACAGCCTCTGGCTCAGCCCTCTTAGAAAGATCCAAGTACCCTGACCTCCAACCAATACTTCCTTACTTGTGTAGCGTGACCACAAGGTCCCGGTTCTGTAGCTGCTGGGGTCCAAAGCTCAAGGCAAACCTTCGGGCCAGGTCCCTCATCTCACTGAAGGCTGGAAGTTCACTCAGGCCCTGGGGCCCCTGTTCCTGCAGCAGTTCTGTGTACAACTGTGTCCAGGAAACATGGTACATTTGGGAAAGGGAGGAACAAAGTGAAAATAGAGAAGTACAGCATTCCCTTCTCAGCCAATTCTGAAGGGCTTGGGAGGCCATCTGCTACTTTTCCTCTTTCCTGCCAGGACACTGTCCCTACGCCTGACCCCAGCAGCAGAGAGTGTCTTCACCCTTGCTCTAGAACAAAACAAACATCTGTAGTAACTGAAGGGACTAAGAGACAACAGACTAAAAGAAAATTAGGAATTTCTATCATCTTACTGATGGTGCTCCTATGTCCTAATATAGTTGAATTTCTGTGGAGTTAGGGTGGAAACTGCCCCTCAGCTAATACTTTCCACGGACCTACTAGTTACAAAGGAGACTGTTGAATAGAGTCAAAATAAATTAGTTCCTGTTGGTAAGGTTCTCACACCCTACATGGCTGAGGGTGAGCAGACAGTTGGTGGGCTACAGGGAGGGCATATCACAGGCCTGAGGTACTCTAGGCAGAAGGGAGTACCTGCTTGAGGCTCAGCAGCAGGATTCGGGAACAATGACTCCGGTCAATCTGCCTTGCTCTAGTTAATGTTTCCTTGATAATGTCACCATAGTCATTGTAGAACTGAAGGACAGGAAATAGAGAAGATAATGTTTGACCCCAAGACAAGACATTCCGTTCTGTTTCTTCCTTTACAATCATGTGTCCTTCCTAAAGTACCTTAGGTCAGGAAACATGAATCGAAGTATAAAACAACTCAGACTGGACCTCCTCTCTAGCCAACAGGTCCAGGCCCAAAGACATCAGAGTTTAGACAAAAAAATAATGGAAGCAACTCTGCCCTGAGCCCATTTCTTGGGGAAGAAGAGTAATAAGCTTGCCACTGTCTGCTCTCTTTGCAGCACTGAAGCCTTCACTGTTGGCCTCTCCCCCGCTAGAAGGGAGGCTCCGTGAAGCAGGAACTTTACTCTGTGTTGCTCACTTCTGTGTCCCTAGTGCCTGAAATGGTATCTGGCCCAGAGTAGGTGCTCAAAATAAACCGCAATCAATACAATGGCGAGCCAAGGAAACTGAGGTACACATCTAGATATCTTGTAAGGATTGATACCTCTTCCATTCTGTTTTTTTTCTTCTTATATTACACCCAGTTTATGGAGACTGCATTCACAGAAAAAAAAAAAAGATTCTGGAAAGAGTAAGATTTTCTTTCCAATGAATTTCCTCCTAACAGCTTTCTTCCCATGATTATTTACTACTGACTCTTCTTTGTCCCTTTATGCCAAACTCCTGTTGCCTTCTTCCTTGCACTTTTCCTTCAAGCCTGATAGCATCACCTCCCCCACCCTCCTTCCCAGAGTGCTCCAGTGTCTGAAGTTGCAGCTGTGCTCAGCCTGATGTCACTCCACTCCACCTTGTTGTAGTGTTTGAACACATCTGAGGCTGCATCCATCTCCAGGACCCCATAAAGCAAGAGTTTGCAGAACCCAGCCAGGAGGCGGCGCCGCTGGTGCAGCTGTTCTATCTGTAGATGATCCTCCTGGGAATGACCTGGCTCACATGAAATGCAGAATGGAAATATCAGAACCACCGATTTAGGACTCCTGCCCTCAAATGCCTGAGGCAGGCCCAAGCCCCAGACCCTTCCTGAGCCCCAGGTATTGAGTCCTTGTACCACTGCCCAGTTCTCCAGGCTGGATGAAGACGTGGTCCATGAGGAAGCTGGCTAGTTCAGACTGGAGAGTAGCCTCAGGAAAAAAGACAAGGGGTCTAAGGAAATCACGACCCCCTACGATCATCTGAGGGCTGAAGATGAGAAGTAGATCACTTAATAAGACAAAAGCCTGTTGGGAAAAAGAAAATGCTTAAAAAGGACAGGATATTGATCAAGACAGAAATTACACAGCTAATTTTCCCTTAGAACGAGGCTTCCCCAGACCGCGGGGAGAAGCGTGCCTCCTTGGTCCCACCCGAGTACATGCCAACCTGCTCCTGGATGTCCGAATCCACATCTGAGAGGCAACTCTGGCAGAGTTCGCAGAAGGCCACCATCCTGCCCTTCAAATTCAACAGCTGCTTCTATGGAGACAGTGGCTTAGGGAGGAGGAATGGAGACACAGGCCTTTCCATTCCCATTGCCCCTACTCAGACTCAGACTCAGACTTACCTGGGAAGCATCTGATCCAGAAAGGTGGGTTAGTGTCCAGAGAATGGAAAAATAAACAAGAGTCAAGGCTGGCAGAATCACCTGTAACAACCAAACGTTACAAAGGTGGAGATCAGGAGAGTGAGGAGCAGATTGGGAGGGAGGGAGAAAGAAAGGGAAAGACAAATGGGCAACACACACCCAAAGCAGTGAAGAGAAACAAAAGCAGCGAAGAGAGAAAATGAGATTAGGGGACACCTGATTCCTTCTCTGGGGGGGGGAAAAGCACTGAATCGGGACAATCTTCAGAGAATTCTGTCTCGGATAGGCATGCCACCTCTCCCTCGTTTATCTGTCATCTCCTAGAATCCCTCAATGTTATCCTTCACTCCCAGGGAAAGGGAGACGGTGGCTGCTTTCAGGCACCAGAAAGTCCAGTTCACCTTCTAGAGTGGAATGGAAGGCACAGCATGCACACGACTTTCCTCCTGGGTCTACTCCACAACCCCGGGACTGGGACTGCCTGGCACTGTTGGCCACCTAGAACCCAGAACCCTGAAATGCTCGTCTCAGACTCGTCTCAGACTCGTCTACTTGCCTGGTGAGGAACCTCTCCTGTGTCCACAGCCTTCTGGAGAAGCTGGTAGCATGGCTCATAGAGCTCCCAGCGACTCAGATCATGAGCACTTTGGGGAGGAGAGGAAAACATTATGCAGGAATCAACGCCACAGACACCGACAGACACAGGAGAAGGAAAAGAGGTGAGCTGCTCACTTGTAGAAGGCAGAGAGGCGCTTCAGAGTGGCTGCCAGACTGTACACCTCATCCTCGTCTAGGAAGGATGACTGAGGAAGGAAGAAGATCCACGGTGGGATTTTCCCGAGGATCCACAGATCCACATTCCCCATCTTGTGGCCTTCTCTGACCCAAGTTTGGGGTGTCCCGTCTTTCAGCTCCAGGTCCTACCTGCAGCAGCTCCTCAAGTTCCTGCTGGAAGCGGTCAGTCAACAGATCCACCAGTTGGCTGCGGGCAAAGTCTACCCGGCCGAAGAACGTGAACTCAGGATTACAGAGCAGATAGAGGGCATGAGCACCCGCCTCAAGCACCGCGGGCTCTGCGTGCTTCACCACCACCTCCTGGAGCTGCTGTAAGAACAGCTCCAGATGCTGACAGAGAGGTGAGAGAAGATAGTGTTGAGGGGGAGCAAGGAAGTGGGGCAAGTCTTCTGGAGGGGAGGAGAGCTGGGGGAGATAAAAAATACACAGTTGAAAGCATTAAACTTAAAGGATAAGATGCCTATGAAAGGGAAGACTTACTGATTTTTCGGGAACCCAGGTTCTTGAGAAGAACCAGATCTTGGCAGTAGAACCTCTGGCCCTAGCAAGGAAGCAGCACTGTGTAAGAACTATATTTTCCTCTCTCCTCACCTTCTCCAAGCGCCTAGTGCAGTAGATGTTGAGGTCAAAGTAGTTGAGAAGCTGGAGCAGGGGAGCAACCTTCTCCGCATCAGCTGAGAACTGCAGGGATTGAGAGGGAGAACTACTTACTAGCTCATATATGCTAAGCCCTACTCCCAGTCCTCACTGGAGGCCATTTCCATTCACTGCTCATTCCCAGATACTGAATGCTGGGGCAGCTTTACCTTGGCCAGGAGCTGGGGGAGCAGGGGGATGAGGTGCTCCGTCAGCTTCACCTTGTCATCGGCTTGGATCTTCCGTTCTTTTGGGGTTAAGCCCTGGAATTAATCATTTAGGGGATGGAGGGAAAGATGTAGAAAAACAGTAGGTCCAGAGGGTGTGGATGTGTATCCCTCTTCCCTATGATCTTATCTGCCCCAGAAGGAAGAGAGAATTCATTTGGCAGCTCCTTCAGATCTCTTTTTTCTAGAAATGGAAATCTTTGAGGGGCAGAGAACTGGCACCCTAACCCAACACTTGAGGATAAAGATGGACAACGCCTATCTGGATTTAATATTGCTAACCAACCCACCCACCCTTCATGCCATACCTTCCTCCCAGTAATCCGCCCCACAGGTGGGTGACCCTCTGAGGCTTGCCGAACGCTGGACACAAGGATTTCTATCAGCGTGCTCTCCTGCACATCGCCCAAGTCTGGGTTGGCAGGAGGATGAAAAACACAGAATCACAAATTAGCCACCCTCCATCTCCAGGTCACTCCAAATCCCACTGCCCATGACACCTCTGCCTTTATAAGACTCCTGGTTTCCTACTAGGAGGTGAAAGGTCCCCTCCTCCGGCTATCACACGGCACGCACTCTGGTCCTTCTCCAGCAGCAGACTTGTGAGACTCTCCCAGTCCTTCAGCTGAGACCCTGCACAGTCCCACAGGCTGTCTACTAAGTAAGCAGCGTGGTTATGGAGCTGTAGAAGAAGGTACATGTTTTTTTTTTTAATTTTTTAAATTTTACTTAAATTCAATTAGTTAACATATAGTGTATCATTGAATTTCAGAGACAGAGTTCAGTGATTCATCAGTTGCATGTAACACCCAGTGCTCATTACATCACGTGCCCTCAATGGCCATCACCCAGCTACCCCTTCCCCTCAGCCCCCCTCCCCTCCAGCACCCTTCAGTTTGTTTCCTATAGTTAAGAGTCTCTTATGGTTTGTCTCCCTCTCTGATTTCGTTTTATTTTTATTTTCCCTCCCTTCTCCTATGCTCCTCTGTTTTGTTTCTTAAATTCCACATTCGCGTGAAATCATATGATAATTATCTTTCTCTGATTGACTTATTTCGTTAAGTTAGCATAACACCCTCTAGTTCCACCTACGTCACTGCAAATGATAAGATTTCATTTGAAAAAGGTGCCTGTTAAGTTACTGAGGCCACGTTAGAAAATTCTGGTAAATACTGATAAACCGTGTCTTTCCTTCCTGCAGCGCCAGCTCCCATCCTTTTCCACCAGCAGGTCTTAGGCACAACAGCCAAATAACTCCTTCCCATACGTCACCTCACTCTCCACAAAGAAGGACAGCAGAAGGTGGAAAAAAGTCCTCTGGGCGCGTGGACTTCGGCGTCGCTGTCTCCCACCCACTGTTCTAGTCTCACACTCAGAGTAGAAGAGCCTGGTAGAACAAACATGGGGAAAGAGCCGCGCATGGGAGCAAATGAGGAGTGGCATAATCACGACGGGGGGAAAGAAAGAGTCCAAGGAGAGCTGTAAGGGAAAGAGGTACAGAGGCAGGGAAAGCCTCAAGGAGTTGAGAGGGGGTAGGCAACACCAAAAGAGACTTTAACGGGTATGGTGGGTGGTCCCTGGGAAGAGCAGCAGCCGATGCAGGAGAGGAAACAGAGGATAGTGTCATAGGAACAAACGAGAGGCTCCTACTCACTTCCAGTACAGAAACTCCCCCGCAGCAGACGCCAGGGCTCGGTTAGAGGCATACACAACAGGGTAGATGCCCTCACAGTCTGCATCTGTTAGCACCCCCTCCATGTTCCTGTCAAGACAAAAGAGTAAAAAGCAGGTGGTTATGGATGTTGTCCTCTAGCACAACTAAGGCTAGAAATAAAGAGAGGCAAATGAGGATTTGGAACAATCCAAAGAGGAACCAAAAAGAAAAGCAATGAAGATTAACTGACAAAGAACTTTTATTTTTTTATTTTTTTTAACTTGTTTTTATTTATTTATTTTTATTCATGAGAGTCAGAGAGAGAGAGAGAGGCAGAGGCAGAGGCAGAGGGAGAAGTCCCCGATGCGGGACTCGATCCCAGGACCCCGGGATCATGACCTGAGCCAAAGGCAGACGCTTAACCATCTGAGCCACCCAGGCACCCGACAAAGAACTTTTAAATGACGAGTGAAAGACAGAGGAGTATAGAGAGTTCGAGAAGATAGGAGATTTTCCTGGAGATCCTGCAACTCAGGAATGACCTCTTTCAACCTGTACATAAGGAAGTGTCAACTTATGATAGGTGGGGAAAAAGGGCTCCAGAAGGGCCTTTCTGATGTTGGAAAGGTCAGACTCTGAGATGCATGCCTCCCCATTCCCCAGGACTCACTTCAGGATAAGTGTTAGTAACTTGACGGCCTCCACTGCGACATCATACTCTCGGTCCATGACCATGGAAACCATCCGGTCCTGTAAGGAATGAACACATCGCTCAATACTTCATTGTACCCATCCCCAAACATTACGCTCTCATAGAATTTGAGAGATTCCCAAAGAGAAGGCGTGGAGGCAGATGCTGGGATAGCTGTAGACACATAAAAGCAACAGGAATGGAAGATGAGGTGGGGAAATGGGAACCACAAGACAGAGCCAAGCACAGGAGTACTGTCCCGATTTTACCTTGAAGCGGCTAGTAAAGAGCTCCAGGCGGGCAGTCAAATCCCGGCTGCTGTACAGCCCTTTTAGAGCCTTCAGGCACTTCAGACGGACTTCTCGATGCTATCAAGGAAAATGGAAATATGACTATTCCTCTACTCAACCCCCACTGGGCCTTCATACCCCTCTGGCAGATTACTCTTTTTGGGCCTTGGTGTCCTGCATGCTGAGGACTTGGGGATGACTCAGAGATAACGAACAAAAGGATCACAGCAGAATCTAACAAGCACAACGAAAAGGACCTTTTGGCTACCACCCTAGCACTTGCCCTACCAATCCATTTCTTGCTTTTCCTAGGGAAAGTCTTTCTCTCCGTACTCTGGTTTTGAGGTGTTCCATCTCCTGGATGTAGCCTTCTCTCTTTTGCCTTATCTTACCCAATACTGGGGAGTTTTGAGGTCCACTGCCTTCCTTGATGGGCTGACCACTAGTGAAGCTTCCAAATGGCAGAACCAGGAAAAGCTGCAGCATCTTAGGGCAGGAAGAGGGTGAGGGGGAAAAGGAGAAAAGAGACTTCAACACGCACCTTATCATGCAGGGTCCAGCCAATATATTTCAAATAGCTGTCAGTGAGGAAAGATGTGCTGTAGCTTTGCATCCAAGACCCTATCTCCTCGATGCAGATAGCACGGATCTCAGGAAGGACATCCCTAGGCACAGAGAGAGAAACCGACCCCCTAGCACCTTCTTTCCAAACTCACTTTCCATTCTCCCACACATCTTCCTGCCACAGAAGAATCTATTTTCTTCACTAAATACCCTGCCCCATGCCTTTAATCTTCTCCTCCCAGTGTAAATACATAAAAAATAAACATTTTCTGTCTGTAATACTGCATAAAATTATCGAGCGTATCCTCCTTGCCCCTTTTAAAACTGATTTTGGAAGTTAATTTAACCGTTGACCAAACTTCCACTGGAAGAAAAGATTAAATCAGCTGAAGAGTTTTGGAAAGCAGAGGCTGAGATCTAGTTATGAGTGAGAAAAAAAATATGGATGCTGTTTTTAACTTAATTCCACTAGTTCTTTTAAACGGTGTAAGACTCCCCTGTTTTTAGGACAGTGACCCAGCAGGCTGGGCCAGGGAAAGGCCTGCCAAGTGGCACGCCCTTGGGAAAGCCCGTCTTTCGGCTCTTTGCTCTTGTTCTCTTAGGTCTCCAGTCCCAGGAAGATGTGGATGGGAAAGTCTTTTGCAAAGTTGGGGCAGAATAGTATCAACAATGCCTTATTCTCTTATTTTCTCTCCCAAAAGAGCTTACAAGAGCCTTTGTAGTTGGGGATGAACTAAACCTTACTAATTCAAACCATCTGTTGTCAAAGTTTTTCCCCCAGCTGCATTAGTGCTAGGACTCACCAAATAACCAGGGTCAGGAGAGCGGCCTTGCTGCTTTTACAGACTCTACAACCAAGGGCCAGCTGCTTCAAAGAGAGGAGCCCATTGACTCACCTGTACCGATGCACAAAGACACCCCTGAAAAGGGCATTCATCATCCCCTCAATCTCCTCTTGATGCTCTTGGAGCTGCAGGACAGGGAGGAACAGGTCAATCTTTCTTGTGCCCCACTGGCATAAAGCCACAGAAGCACAGTAAAGTATGACTTCCATCTACTTCTTATTTATTAACAGGACACAGTCTGAACCCCTGAAAACCTTCTAATTCTAGAAGAAGCTATATAACCAACTAATGCCTCAAGGGTTTCTTTGTGTTTTTGTAAAAAAAAGTATTCCCCTCTGGGTCTGGTTATTCTGGCTATCTTTGGCTATTTACAGGCGCTCGGTGGTAGTTACATATGTTTTCGACTAAAAACAGTTGAAAAAATGAATTTTTAATAAATGCAGTTTGACAGAAAAAGTAGAACTAGCAGAAGAAGAGAGGGAAGAGATTAGACCAGTTGTTCTCAACTGGGAGCCCCTCGGGGGACATTTAGCTACTTCTGAAAACAATTTTTTGGTGGTCACTCCTGGGAGGGGATACTACTGCCATCTAGTGGATAGAGGCCAGGGATGCTGTTAAACATCCTGCAACGGCAAGACAACCCCCTGTGTCAATAGTGCCATTGTTGAGAAACCCTGGATTAGATGAATGACAGATATCAAGGAAGCAGAATGATAAGAATTACAGGAACAACAAGGAAGCAGAATTATAAGAAAATGTTCTTTAGGACAACTGACCCTACCTCTTCAATAAATCAACGTACTGGGGGGAAAACAGGGGAGGCAGAAGTTCTATATAAGATTAAAAGAGGCTTAAGAAATACAACAAATACAGTGCATAATCCTTAATTAAATCCTGGTTGGAATTAATCAACTTTTATAAAAGGCATTTTGCAGACACACAGAGAAATTTAAATATGAATTGGGGTTAGAAAATATTAAGGATTATTAATATTTTTGAATGTGAAAATGTTATTGGGTTAATGGGATAATTTTTTAGATGACTTTTTAAAATATTTTTGTAGAGTACACAATTTAAGTCTTTAGGTGGAAATACCAGTATGTTTACAATTGACTGTAAAATATCAAAAAAAAGAGGCAAATATGGTGAAATATTAGTTGTTAAATCTACGTAATTTGTATACAGTGTTCACCCTACCAGTGTCCCTATTTCTCAAAATGTTTAGAAATTTTCATATTGAAAAGAAAAGGAAGGGGCGCCTGGATGGCTCAGTCGGTTTCGGCTCTTGATCTGACTCAGGTCAGGATCTCAGGATCTCAGGATCCTGGGATAGAGCCCTGTGTCGGGCTCTGTGGTCAGCAGGGAGTCCGCTGGAGGATTTTCTCCCCCGCCGATCACCCCTCCCCCCCCACTCTCCCTCTGCCCCTCCACCCGCATGTGCATGCAGGTGCGCACTCTCTCTCTCTCAAATAAGAAAAGGGGGGAGCCTGGTTGACTCTGTCATTAAGCGTCTGCATTCAGCTCAGGTCATGATTCCAGGATCCTGAGATCCAGCCCCACCTCGGGCTCCTGGGCTCAGTGGGGAGTCTGCTTCTCCCTCTCCCTCTGCCTACCACTCCCCCTGCTTGTGCGCTCACTTGGTGCACTCTCTGTCAAATAAATAAAATCTTTAAAACAAATAAATAAAAAATGAAGAAAAGGAGAAAGAGGGATCGAAGGAAGGAGGAAAAGTGTGTCATCAGTACCAAATTCTACAGAAGTTTGGAGAAAGGAGATTGAGAAAAGGCCATTGACCACAGGGATTAGGAAGTCACTGGTTTGGAGAGAATAATTTCAAAGAAAAGCTAGGTAGCAAAAAAGGATTCAGTTGGAAATTAAGGAAGTAAGAAATACTAAAAAGGACAAAGATGGAGTACTTCACAGAGAAGAATAAAGGACCAGGGGCCTACAGACATTTATTTATACATGAAGAGCAGAAAACAGTGGGGAGGAAGCGATTAAAAACCAAAACCAAGGGTGCCTGGGTGGCTCAGTCAGTTGGGCGGCTGCCTTCAGCTCAGGTCATGATCCCAGGGGCCTGGGCTCCTTACTCATCGGGGGTCTACTTCTCCCTCTGCCCCTCCCCCTGCTTGTGCTCCCTCTCCCTCTCTCTCTCAAATAAAATCTTTTAAAAATATACAAAATAGGGGCGCCTCGGTGGCTCAGTCAGTTAAGCATCTGCCTTCGGCTCAGGTCATGATCCCAGGGTCCTGGGATCGAGTCCCACATGGGGCTCCCTGCTCCAGTGGGGCGTTTGCTTGTCCCTCTGCCTGCAACTCTGCCTACTTGTGCGCTCGTGCTCTCCCTCTGTCAAATAAATAAAATCTTTAAAATATAAAAATAAAATAAAATAAAAAATAAAAACCAAAAGAGAAATAATAACCAATAAAACAAGAACCTAGACAAGTCAAATAAAGATTCATGGTGGTAGACTCAATTTAAGGCCTGAAACAAACCTTAAGTACATAAGGTTTAAGATCATACGGACATTGAAAATAGTGAGAGCGAGGAAAGAAGGTTTACCATGGAAGAGACCTTGGTGAGGGGTGGGAAAACAGTCAGTTGGTGCAGTGAGACAATGGGGAGTCCTGCCAACCTCATGCTGGGGAGTCTCAGACACTACTGGAGAGTAGGGGGGAAGTCAGCGTCTTGTGACAGACATAGCTGTTTGAAGGTTTAATCGATGTAAAAGATTTTATTAGGGCTTATGTCATCCGGTGGTCTTTAAGTTTGAAAGGAAATAAAGCAAATACCTACTCTGTGCCAGACTAGGCAATTCACTCACCATCTCATTTAATCTTCATAAAATGGTAGAATTATCCCCTTTTTAAAGAAAAGGAAACGGAAGCTTAGAGGTTACATAAGGCCACGGAACTAGTAGCTAATTGGAAAAGAACAAACCCAGGAGTGACTGAAAGGCCTATTGCTTTCCAGTGCTTGAACAGTTGGCCTCCCTTGTCAGTGGTTGGCCTTTAATACTCCTGTGGTGACCTGCAGACTGTATACTTGACCAGGTCAAAAATTAACTGCCTCCACGAGATGCAAGCACAACACTTAAACACATTTCTGATAATGAATGTAGACAATGGAAACTAAACCAAAGTGGAATTATAAAGAACTCTGAAATTTACTCTAAATTAGAAATAATTCATTGAGCTCACATTCCCAGAAATAAGATAAGCACGCAATGACCTCTGACAGGATGGGTCTGTTAACACTGTTAGACTCCACTGTTCGTGGCCTGAAAGGTTACATAGGGGCCTGTGTCTTACCAAAGAGAAGTGCCTGGGCACTGCTAAGATGGCCTGCAGCAGCAGTGGATGGAAGCTGGAAGAAAGGGAAGGAAAAGGCAGGAAACACTTCTTACTTCTTTGCGTTTCTCCAACAGGCTCTCCAGCCGCTCAGGTGCTCTCTGTCCTGGCCCCTTATTTCGTTCAGCCTCAAACTGTCGCTGATTATTGTCTTTGTGCAGACTCAGCTGAAGGGCAACTCTTACCAGGGAGGTCATTAGCTTCATGGCTTTGAGCCAGGAAAAACAAGAAAAGGGAATTATTACTTAGGTCAGAGGAGCAAGGATAGGTTCAAAAAAGAAAGAAAAAAAGCTCTTGTGGTTTCAGTGGGAAAAGAAGGAGGAAGCAGGAAGTGGGGCAGTTGGGGGGGAAGCTACCATGGCTGCTGCCACCACTGCCACCAAAAAACAGAAGAGAAAGAAAAGAAAGGAAAAGAAAAGGAAAGGAAAGAAAAAAAAAAAGGAAGGGCAGCAAAAATGAAAAACTAGAGCAGGGTGACCTTAACATCTGAAGACTGTTCTGGAGTGGACCTTTTTTCTCTCTTTTGGCCTTCTTTTAATCCTTAGCATATTCCCAGCAGGTGAGCAATGAGAAAAAAGTTAAGACTGAAAATTGTCACTATAATCTACCCTTTTCTATAATACCACTAGTGAGAAATTTGACTAAAGTGTAAGAAGACTGCCCTTGAAATAAAGAGCTAAGACAGAGGTAAGAAAGAAGATCCAGAACCAAAGAACAGAGGAAATCTCCCAGAGAACATTTACAGAGTAAAAGTGCGTGCTCACCCGCCAGGGTGCTAGTGTGACGGAAGGCACGGACTTGGGAGTCTGAGAGGCCAGTGAGCAGGGAGATGAGGTTGTCCATAGGGAAGCCATCATAGAGAAGGCTATACTGGCACTGATAGACCAAGGTCTTCACAAATTCACAGAAGCTGCCCTGGAACTTCTTCCAGGATGGACCTGGTGCTGTCAGGGGATAGTCTCCTGAGTCCTACAGAAGGATTTATGAAAAGGATGAGAAAAGTATTATCAAGCCTATGAAGCCACAGGGACTCGGGATGTCAAAACCCAATAGTAAAATAAAAATGTATCTCAGGTACACCTCATTTCCTGCTATTCTCAACTCTAGAGGCATATTCAGATAACATCTATGGGTCCCTTTTGCCCCCAAGAAATTAAACTCCTTCCAAAAGCTATCCTTTTTCCCAAAATCAGAAAGAGGGGGATAATGGGCCCTGTATTTGAAATAAGAGTGGCAAGAGAATCCTGGTTGTCTTCCTCCACCTCATTAAACTGTTCTGTTAGGTGCCGGATGATCTCTGAGTTGGACATCTTCTTGAACATCTCGGGGGTCACATTGCCTGAGGAATGGAGGAGATGAGGTACTTAAGAGAAAAATAACAGGACACCATGACCATTTGCATATATACCTGAAGATGAGCTACGGAATATACTGAAAAGAGCTTAGGTGGGGAATAAGAAGACCTGAATCCTAGTCATAAAATTTGCTACCATCCAACTGTGTATCTGCTATAAAGCAAGCTCTCTAGAAAACCCAAAGGAATCAAGCAATGGAAAACAATGGTTTAAAAAAAATCCAAACAGGCCATCTGGTTTGCTCAGTTAGTAAAGCATGTGACTCTTGATCTCAAGATAGTGAGTTCAAGCCCCACGCTGGGTGTGGAGCCTACTTTAAAAATAAACAAACAAACAAATAAATAAATAAAGCAATAAAGCTACACCAATTCTGGATTCTTATAATACAACCTGCCTGAGATTATCTTGCCCCAATAAATTAGGTCATGACCTCTGGGGATCTGGGGGCCCACAGCTTCAATGGAGAAATATGGAAGGAAATGGCTAAGGAAATAAGGAATAATAAAAAATTATTTCATCTAGAGAAAGGAAGACTAAAAGATGTCTAATGGTCTATTTTCAAATTTGTGAATATCATCTTCATCACATTAGTGTGATTAGTTATTTTTCCCCAAAGGGTCTTAGCTCCAAAACAACATAGTTCCCTAACTGGATCACTTACCTATTTGCCAATCTACAATGTTGTCGAATCAGTGAAACTTTTTTTATGCTTTACTTTCTCCCTTTATTTAGAAAACAACTAGTCCCGCAAAAGTTTCATAACATAGGAGTAAAGGGCTAGGGATTACCAAGGGGTAGGAATTTCCTCACCTTTACATCCACAAGACCGGATGAAAAAGTTAACGAGCTCCAGGAATCCCGCATCCTGGTCTTGCTTGTAGCTATCCAGCCACTCATCCACCAAAGACTAGGAAAACAAGGTGGATGATTTCTACTTCTGGCACTATGACAGACTGGAGATCCTATATCATTGTCCCAACTGAAACAGCTAAACTTCCAATTAAAATATTAAAAACATCTTTTAAAATGTATTGCTGAACTGGAATGAAAAGTAGAATTACATATAGGCCAAAAATGAAGTGAAGGTAGCAATCCTGGGAGATAAGAAAGCTGATTTTTGCCCTGGGGTTCTGTTAAACACTGGAAATCCTGACTTTCTGTCCAGACAGCTGCATGGAATGCAGAGCATAAGATATAGAGCCTTTGGGTTTTCCAGGAAGAGAGGTCCAAAGAGAGGCTCCTGCAATAAAGCTAGGTGCTGGAAAAAGTCACATCATGGAAGCAGGAATAAGAAATGAACCTACAGGTCAGAAGAGGACAGCAAGAAAACTAGCCTGTTAGGACTAGTGTAGGGTGAAGGGGAAAAAAAAAAGAATTCTCCCTTGAGAATTCATAACCACAAGCCAGCTCTCAGGTCAGGTCTGGATTTGCAGTCCAGATCCATACTACCTATACAATCAGAATACTCTCAATCAGAGATTTTAATTCAAAGTGATTCTGGGATGTCCCCAGTCAACTACCAGAAGCAAATGCAGATTCCACTCTTAAAAACCCACCTTTAACCCAGGGCCCAAAGAATTCCAACATACAGAGCTCCAAGAAAAATGAGCTCACAGTGAAACTTAGTAAAGAAATAAGGCACTGAAATAAGACTTAGCAGAAAAAAAAACAGAATTACTTTCACAAACTTCAAACATTAAAGTTATTACAGACTATAAAAGATCCTATGAATAAAGAAATAAAAGATAAGTTTTAAAGAAGCAAAGAACAATAAATTTTGAAAAAGGGCCAAAAAAATCTATAGAAAAATATAATACAATTTAAACTTCAATGAATGGATTAAAAGATTAGACACAGTAAAACAAAAAATGAATGAACTGGAAGATTAAATCAAAGATATTATCCAAAATTCAGCCTGGAGAGACTAACAGAAATATTGATAGAGCTACTGAGACATGGAGAATAGAGTGAGAAGTTCTAATTAATGTCTAATTGAATTGCAGAAGAAGATACTAGAATGACAAAGAGGCAGTATCTGAAAAGAATTTTCCACAGTTGTTGAAAGACACCAATCTTCAGAGCCTAGATGCCAACAGATTTCAAACATGACAAATAAAAAGGAAATTTACACCTTTAAGCATTCTATAAAATATAAGAACACAAAACCAAAGTCTCAAAAACAATCAAGACAAAAAGAGATCACTTAAAAAGGATTTGCATGTAACACTTACAAACAAAACAATCTACAAATTAAATCTGCACGAATACATCAGCCCCTAGCCATATATGGCTCTTAAAACTAAATCAAATAAAAATTAAAAATCCAGTTCCTCAGTCACACCAGTCACATTTGAAGTACTCAATAGCCACATGTGGCTAGTGAATACTATACTAAATGATGATATATAACATTTCCATCATTACAAAATGTTATATTAGACGGTGCTAAATTAGACTGACAGCTGACTTTCCACAGCAATAAGGGAAGTTAGAATAATCTTTTCAATGTGCTGAGAGAGAAAAATATATTAGAATTCTATACCCTTTCAAGACCTTTCAATAACCTTTCAAGAACAAGAGTAAAAGACATTTCATGTAAGCAAACAAAAAAAATTAGTAAACTCTACCTAGAGGAAATTTTAAAGGATACACTTTGAACAAGTGGGTGAATTTGTGTGGAAGATTTGAGAAGCAATGATAAGCCAAATGATAAAAATGTAAGTAAATACAAACATTGTATAAAACGGTAATGTCTAATTTGTTGGAAGAAGGGACATAGACTAGTGTAACTAAAACATTATAAGACAGTATGAAAACTGGAAGGGGCAATTAGAATTAAAGTGTGCTTGGGTCCTTATAGAAGACAGAAATCCAGGGGGACCCGTGTGTCGCAGTCGGTTAAGTGTCTGCCTTCGGCTCAGGTCATGATCCTGGGGTCCTGCGATCGAGCCCCCATCGGGCCCCTGCTCAATGGGGAGTCTGCTTCTCCCTCTCCCTGCCCACTCATGCTCACTCTCTCTCTCTCTTTCTCAATAAAATCTTTAAAAAAAAGAGACAGAAATCCAAAAGCAAGCAAAGAGAGGAGAAAAAGAAACAGAAAAGATAAAGTGGAAGCACATAAAATGGTAGAAATAAATTCGTATGTACCCACAGTGACAATAAATGTAAATGAATCAAACTCTCTTGTTAAAGTAGAGATTAACAGAATGGATTAAAGAACATAATCTAGATATAAACTACACGCAGGAGATAGACTCCAGACATACACAGAAAGATTGAAGGTAAAAAGATAAAAGGAGGGGAGCCTGGCTGACTCAATCAGTAGAGCATGGAACTCTTGATCTCAGGGTTGTGAATTTGAGCCCCAGGTGGGGTGGAGAGATTACTTAAAAATAAAGTTTTAGAGGAAAAAAAAAGGATAGAAAAAGGTATTAGGCAAATGCTAACCAAAAATAAAGTTAATGCAGATATAATAAGAACCAACAATTTTTTGTCTTCAAATATAAAAAGTGATGATATATAACAAGGTTCAATTTACTAGGCAACAAATATACAACGAATACAAAAATAGTAATTAAAAAGATCATCTTTATGGATTTTAATACATCTCTCTGTAATTGACATACCAGACCAAAACCAAACAAAAAATCCAAAAACCTAGAGAAATATCAAAGCAGTATCACATTAAACACTTTTGATCTCACCCAAGAGAACAGTCTATCCAACAAATGGAGAACACACACCTTTGAGCACATGTGAAATAGTTTTGGAAATGAACTAAATGCTAAGTCATAAAGCTAGTCTCCATAAGCTTCAAAGACCACATTTTCCTGACTACAATGCAATCAAGTTAGAAAACAATAACAAAAATATAAATAGAAAAACTCCTTCTGTGTGAAAATCTAAAACTATTGTAGAAACTGTAAAAATCTACACTACACATCAATAAGACTACATCTCAAATAATCGAAATAAGTCACAGAAAACTAAAAAATGGTTCATTTATTTAAAGAACATATTCACTAGTAACAAAAGTATAAGGAAAGACAATGGAATGATTAACAGAAAATTTACTCTAGTGGTTATCTCTGGGTGGTGAGGGGCTGTGTGGGCTGGATGGAGAGAAGATATACTATGGCACAATTAATGTTTCTTGAACTGAGACTAGAGATCTGGGTGATTATTCAAATTTTTAAAAACTGTATGTGAGCCTTCTACACTTTTAGATAACAGAATTACAATAAAATTATGGAAAAAAGAAATGCACGGAAGGGAAAAAAGAATTAGGTGTAAATGTTAAAGTGGAGCTAAAGAGTGACAAGGGTGAACAAGTTGCCACCCACAAGCATGATTTCTCTCCAGATTATCTAATGCCACTGCTTGCCTCCTCCATCCCGATTAATAAAAGTAAAATCTATCCTGTTCTGTGATACTTTTAAGAAAGGAGGATTCTCTCACATCCCAGGTCTCCCTTACATCATTCCAAAGATTTACTCCATGATCTTATCTCTCTTTCCTCGTATAGGTTATACTCCCTACATCATCCCCATTAAATCAATTTTGTAAACATTTGTCCTTATCTTTCTACAACAGATAAGATATGGTATCAAGAAACAGAGGGTGAGACACTGTTTTACCTGCATGTCACTTTTGGCAGCTTTCACAGCATCAAAGAGATCACTGGCTGGTAGCTCTGAGTCTTTCTGGCCATGACCACGTACCATTCGGGACCCCTTCTTTGGATGTTTTGCCACCTAGTAAGTATAAAGAGATCAGAAATATTTTTAAAACGTCAAAGTGATGTTAACAGTCTCATCACTGTCATACAAGTAGGCTTAAGCTGCCAATTTCACAGCAGAATTTGAGTTACTGAGATCTAAAATAACTGATTTTCATACTGTGAATCTCTAACTTTTTCTTCTTTTAAAAAGTCCCTTAAGCCCATTCTTTTTCCTCTCTATTCTTAATACCCTTCTTTTATTCTTTTCTCTTCAAAATTTGCCTTCCTCCTACTTCTGTCCCTTAACACTCTCTAAATTTTGCCCTTTCATCAAATATATTACCTGAGCCTTTTCTAGATTTTCATTTTGTTTGGGTTTTGGGGTTTTTCGTTTGTTTTTGCTGCTTCCCAGACTAGGTTCAAAAGAAAAATGAAACTGATTGACTCACTGGGGTTGTTCTGAGTGGTCGTTTTGCTGCTCTCTTCTTCACACTGCGTCTCAGGCTAGCTTCAAAGTCACTGCCTTCATCAGCTGATAAAGAATCACTATCCCTATGAGAGAGTGTGGTTTTCCTTAGATACACAACCCCAGTCCCTCCATATAAAATGGCAAATAATTTACAATTTCTTTTTCTGTAACTGTAACCCCTTCTCCATGAGAAAAATATATTCAGATTTTTTTTAAAGAAGAGGTTTACTTTAACAGGGAGTAGAGACAAAATCTTAAACGAAAACTTTCACCTGAAGAAAGCAGTGAAGATGTAAAATGAAAACTGGAGTGGGTAAAAGACAACCTCTTCCTAATATTCTCTCTGAATAAGAAAATCAAATGAGGGCACCTGGGTAGCTCAGTTGTTAAGCGTCTGCCTTCAGCTCAGGTCATGATCCCAGGGTCCCAGGATCGAGTCCCACATCAGGCTCCCTGCTCCGCAGGAAGCCTGCTTCTCCTTCTCCCACTCCCCCTGCTTGTGTTCCCTCTCTCGCTGTCTCTCTCTCTGTTGAAAAATAAATAAAATCTTAAAAAAAAAAAAGAAAAGAAAATGATATTCACTTAAGCAGGGAGAGGGATCACTGCTGTGGAGAAAAATCAGCGTGGCTTGGGAAGTCACACATTACTCATACGTAAACTGGAGATTAATATATGCCTAGAGTTAAATTTCACTCCTTGAAACAAGTTTACAAGTGTTATCAATTAGAGTTAAGTTTATAACATAGATAAAATCTGGTCCCAAACAGTAGCACCGAGAGAAAGGTGTCAGAGGAAGCCAATTAAAAAAATAACCAGGAGAGGGGTGCCTGGGTGGCTCAGTCGGTTGAGGGCTGCCTTGGGCTCAGGTCGTCCATCCTAGGGCCCTGGGATCAAGCCCCATGTCGGGCTCTGTGCTCAGTGGGGAGCCTGCTTCTCCCTCTCCCTCTGCCTGCCTGTCTGCCTACTTGTGATCTCTCTCTCTCTCTGTCAAATAAATAAACAAAATCTTAAAAAAAAAAAAAGTTAAAAAAATAACCAGGAGATAAATCAGATCTTGTATGAGGTTATTTTTTTCCTGGAAAAATAAAAAAAGATTTATTATTATAACCTTCACAAAGTAAGCTCATAGATAATGACAGATCAATCTGTTTATAAAATCCCTAAATAAAGGAACATTACACACCAACTAACAAGTGTATACTATTTGTTAGGAAACAAATAAAGAACTCTTTACTTCTCCTTCCCCCACCTCCCCACTCCCGACAGAGGCTATACATGCTGAATATACAAATATATTCACGAAAGGTTTGGATGAGCTGGATGATGGATTTAGAAGAAGATGTATTATTTTTGGTGCCTACAACATGCAGGGCAGGAAAGAGAAAAACCAACAAACCAACCAACCCAAAACCAGCCAGCAGAGCTGGAAAGGGTCACTGTTCTGAACCAGTAAGCTTACGTTTTCACAGAGTCACAGGCAGACAGAGGAGAAAGCTGCCCGCACTGATGGAGAAAGCCAGACAACGCAACAAGTTCTCACTAACTCCACTCACCCCTGTGAAGTATGGTCCGAGTCCCTTTCACCATAGGGCACACTGACAGACGAACTAGAGGATGCAGACAAGCCCCTCTGTCCACCACCTGCTGCTCTCCGCAGCGGGGAGGACACACTGCTTGGGGAGGAGGAGGGCCGCAGAGTAGGCATGCTGGTCCAGCTGCGAAAGAGAGGAAAGGGCCTTTACCCACATCTCCAGCCTCAGCTCCAACCATGCCCTTTCTTTACAAGGGGACTGCTCTGCAACTCGGGGTTGGGGTGTGGATTCCCCTGCCAAAAAGGGACAAGAGTTGTGCCCTAAGACACCACGGCCCCATGGATGTGGGTTGGGAGTCGCTCTCCAGGGCCACAGCAAGACGCACCCCAGAGCCGCTTAAAGCAGATCCTTCTCTGCAGGGGTCCAAGCGTTGATTGCATGGCGCAAGGGGACCAGCTCGCTCATGTTACACATAAAAACCCTCAAAACAAAAAAGGACCCACCCACTCCTTCATTTTCAGGCTGGAGCCTGATTCCACACTGAAGGGGAAGCGCTTAATGATCAGGGGCCGCAGCCGCCATTAGAACAGGACCAGAAACGCTGAAGGAGTAAAGACAAACTCGTGTTCTCCGTTTTTCCAGAAGAGGGTATCTCTGACAAGACCCTGGGGTAAGTGGGCTGAGGGGCTTCCTAACCGTTGAAAAGAGTGATTATCAGTCTCTTGGGGGCTGGGGCTTGGGGTTCCTGGCCTCTCTGGAGAAAACCACTGAGGCATGGAGGAGGGCGGTTCCTCTCTCAGGGCTGGGAGTGCGGGGAGAGGGCGTATTCTTGGGTCCAAGAGGAGCCTCACTGTCTGAACCCGGAACAGCGACGTCTGGTTGGGCAGGGATGAGGAAAGATCACTGCCTCGGGTCCCTCAGGGTTCTGCAGTCACCCCCACCTCCAGGACGGGCGCCGGCTGCTTCTCTTCCGGTGGCGGAACAATCCAGAAAAACGCGGGAAGCCACGAGACACGTTGTGCGCAGGAGCGAGCTCAACGGCCCGTCCCACTGCTGGTAATTGTCGCGAGGCTTGGGCGTGCGCGAGCTCGTGCTCACCACGTTCCAGTCACGCTGGTCGGGCAGCCTCGTGCGGGCACAAGCTTTCCGGCGTGCCGCCCCGTCACGTGGGCTCGGGCTCGCAGACAGCCGGCTTTAGCCCTTCTCCACCCAGGTCCCGCCCCCTCTGCCCCCAATTTCTCTCTCCATTGGCCAGGCTTCGCACTAGACTAGTTGTAGCCCCTTCACTCTGGCTTCTCAACTGCCATAGGCTGGGTTCCACCCAGGCCCCGCCTTTCGAATCGGATAGCCACGCCCCCAAGAAAGGCTACGCCCCTCCCCCACCAGCCTCCTTAGTTCCGCCGAGTCCCGCCCCCCTGCCGAGCTTTCCCACTACATTGGCTTAATTTCTCCCTAGGCCCCGCCCCTGAGGCCCGCTACTTACCATCATTGGCGGGGCCCCGCCTCGGGCCCCGCCCCCTGTCCGGCTCCCTGCTCCCATTGTCTCCGCAGATGCCGCTTGGTCCAGCTATCGTGCTCGGTGTTCAGTTTTCCGAGGTCGCGCTCTTTCTCTGCCCCGCGGAGAGGTCCCGCGGCAGAGAACCGACTTCCCGAGTTCGGGCTATTCTTTCCTTCTTAGGACACACTTTGCTGAACCAGGGCGGCAGCAGCTATGTCCGCTCTGCGATCTCTTCTGCTTCTGCTGCTGTCTCTGTGTCCCGGTCCTGGTCCTGGACCCGGGAGCGAGGCAAAGGTCACCCGGAGTTGCGTTGAGACCCGGCAGGTGCTGGGGGCCCGGGGATATAGCTTAAGCCTACTCCCTCCCGCCCTGATCTCAGGTGAGGAGAAAGAGGAAGACTAGAGAATTGGGCGCGAGGGAGGGGGGCGGGGGCGGCTCGTCCCCGGTCCACAATAACTCTCCTCCCTTTCAGAATGACCGTTATTAATAATCTTTTCGTGCTATAGTCATGCCAATAATATCTCTTCTCCTGAACTTACTTACCAGGATCAGAATAAGCCTCCTGTTCACATAATGGGTTTCTTACTCCACCCCCACCCTAGGAATCCTGTTCTAGTAATTAGCACCCCCTCTGTATTTCATTCTTCACAGCTCAATTTGTTCCCATCGCTATTTCTAAGAGCCCCTTCAGTGATAACACTTTATTGCTTACCTAGTAACCCCACCCCTCCAAACCCCATTCTTCCCATAGATGCTGTCTTGTAAGTCCTTAGAGGCCTGGAGTGTGGGATGTTGGGGAGGGTCACCTAAGGACACTGATCACTAATTTGGCTCATTACTATTTGATCCCTTGCCTAATGCCAGTGGACTCGAGATGGGTGAGGGCACAATAAGGAGGGGATAGGGTCAGGTGGGGATGAGGGAGAGACAATAGAAAAGAAAGCAGGTAGAAGAGAAAGGATAGCCCCCTAGACAGACGGAAAGAGGAAGGAATTACATGATAGCATTCTCCCTTCCCCCATTCTTCTGTGTCTCCTCTGTCCAGGTGAGCACCTCCGGATCTGTCCCCAGGAGTACACCTGCTGTTCCAGTGAGATAGAGCAGAGGCTGACTTGGGAGACTGAGACCACCTTCCGAGGCCTGGTGGAGGAGAGCAGCTCATTCCTGGTTCACACGCTGGCTTCCTGGCACAGAAAATTTGATGGTGAGGACTTGCGGTCCCCAAACCTGGCCTCACACCTCCTCTCTGTGCTCATGACCCCAGCAAGCATCCTGCCTTAGCCTCCTTCCACCACCACCCCCAGATTCTGTCCAGGGTCACCCCCCCCCCAGTATTCTCAGGTCTCTAAGAGTTCCTGAGGCTCTAACTCACTTTTCTCTTGTCTCCCCATCCCCGTCTCTTCCTGCCTCCGCCCTTTCAATTTTCCATCCTTCTCTGGCCTCACTCCACCTCACACTCCTTTCTCCACTTTTGCCACAGACCTTTTTCGGGAGATACTCTTGTCATCTGAGCGCTCTCTGGCCCTGCTCTTCCACCACTCCTTCGGCCGCCTGTATTCCCAGCACGCCCCTGTATTCAGTGGCCTGTTCTCTCGGCTGCGGGACTACTATGAGAGGTCCGGTGAGGGGTTAGATGACGCTTTGGTGGATTTCTGGGCACAGCTCCTGGAGAGATTTTTCCCCCTGCTGCATCCACAGTACACCTTCTCCCCCGACTACCTGTTTTGCCTCACTCGCCTCGCCTCCTCTGCTGATGACTCTCTGAAGCCTTTCGGGGATGCACCCCACCGCCTCCACCTGCAGGTGAGAGGCCCCAAAGCCTGAGCTTCAGCCACCTCTGACCTGGTGACCTCCGAGCTGTGCACCACTCACCCCAACTCCCCTCTCATGCCCCAGTCACCCCTGACCTAGTGATCTCCCCAGTTCTGCATGGCAGCCATCTCTGACCTGGTGGCCCCTATCTTGAGCCCCGGTCCCCTCTGCCTGACCCCATGCTCTTTGGCCTCCTTTAATTGGGTACTCCCTTATTCTCATTCTGTGCCCTAGTTTCATACAAATCCCTGACCCATTCACCTGCTCTTGGCCCCCAGACGCCTTTCTGCTAATTGCTCCCTAAGCCTAATATCTTGACTTCCTGTGGTTCAACTAACCATGAATTGGGCACTTAATAGTCGAGACAGACTTTCATTTACAGTATTTCATTTAATTGCTCTAGTAACTTTTTGAGATAGATAGTGGTATCCCTATTTTACAGATAAGAAAACTGAGCCTCCCAGAAGTTAGGGTTTCACAGCCAGGAAGTGGTAGAGGTGTATCTTACACCCAGGTCTTCTGGCTCAGTTCAGCGTTTGTTCTGATATGCCATCCTTCTGTCGCCAAGCCCTATAAAACACAGTCCCTCCATTTCTTCCCAAACCCAGCTCCTCTTTATCCTTCTAGACTATAATTCCTTTGAATATAGTTCAAGGAATTATATTCCTTGAACCTGCCTTCCTGTACCACCTGACCGTCCTAACAACCCCACTATAACTCCACACACTCAACCCCCACTGCTTGTGCCTTTGGTGCGGTGTCTTGGTTCCAGTCTTGACTGAACCATGACTGACCCTATGGTTTCTCTCACCTTCTTTCCTCTACCCCAGATAACCCGGGCCCTGGTGGCTGCCCGGGCCTTTATCCAGGGCCTGGAGACCGGAAGAGATGTGGTCAGCGAAACACTTAAGGTTAGAGGGGGCCTGAGTGTGGGCAGGGCCCAGGGAGGGAGAGGCAGAAGTAAGAGAGGCCCTATGAGGAAGAGTCAGGTGCCAGCTGGAGAGGTCCAGGGCCTTCCCATATCAGCCCTGAGGCCCCAGTGTCCAGGGTAAAGCAGGAAGGAGGGGGGCAGGAGTGGAATCTCCCTTGTGTCTTGATCCATGACCTCCTCCCATTATCTGACCCTTTTTGCTCTCTGATGCCCCTTGACCCCTGCCAGGCTCTGGTGGTCTGCTCATCTCCATAGCAGCCTAAGATTGAAGTACTGCCTCCACCATCCCCCCCCCCCGCCTGCCATTTCCCACAGGACCCCTCCATGGCTCCCCCTTCCCTGCTTCTGAAGGCCAGATTCCTGCCTTGGCCTTCAAAGCCCTCTCTTCACCACCCATTTTCTCCCTGACCTCCCAGCTTTACCTCCTGCATCCCCAGTCTCTTCTCTTCTCAACCACGATGGCCTCTCTCTTCTTGAACATTTTCTCAGACGGCTCTCCCCACTGCCTCTCTAATCCCCCCCCCCCCCCCCCCCCCCCCCCCCCCGCCAAGAAGGACGTATCTGTAGCCTGGCTCCTGGGAAACTTCTTTATCAGATCTGTGGCAGTCTTCAGGTCTTACCTGCTGCCACATGGGGTCACTAAGCCTAGACATTCACATCCAGCTCTCCACAGAGAGCCTGGGGAAGGTGAGGTGCGGTATTTGATTTCTCTCTGTCCAGCACCAAGCTTGGCTGAGTGCAGCCACTGTGTTTGTGAATGACAAGTCCTGCTGTCTGCCCCCAGGTGCCCATGTCTGAAGGATGCAGGCAGGCTGTGATGCGTCTGACTGGCTGCCCCCTCTGTCGGGGCATCCCCTCGCTGCCACCCTGCCGGGGCTTCTGCCTCAATGTGGCCAATGGCTGTCTCCGAAGCCACGGACTGGATCCTGACTGGGGGGCCTATCTGGGTGAGGGGATTCAGGAGGGCCTGGGAGGGCTGTTTGTGTTTGGAATACCTTGGGGTGGACTGGGGAGGGAGTTTTAAACCTTACGGAGTTGAGAGACTGTTCTCATGTTTCTCCTATCCACACCTTGTTGCTTCCCTCCAAGACCCAGGTCAGGATTTGTGGGAGCATCACAGTCCCTCATGACACCCTTTCTCTTTCTTCCCCTCCTTCAAGATGGTCTCCTGTTCCTGGCTGAGAAGCTCCAGGGCTCTTTTTCTTTTGAGCTGGCAGCTCAGTCCATTGGGGTGAGGATCTCAGAAGCTTTGATGTATCTGCAGGAAAACAGTGTGGCAGTGTCAGCCCAGGTACAGGGGCCATGAGAAGGGTGGGAGTGTCAGCCTGAGGAGGAGGGAAGACCGTGCAGGGGGGGTGTTGGGGTACAGGAGAGAGATGAGCGGAGCTGAGGGTCTGGAGTGGGGGGCAGTGTGGGGTGTCAGGGAGACTGGGGTGTTGGAGTGAGGACACTGTGTGGTTCTCATCTCAGGATGACTAGAGGGGTCCTCTTCCTTGTGCCTTAGGTGTTTCAGCAATGTGGGAACCCCCAACGGGTACAAGGCCGCAGCCGCCGAGCCCCAGCCCCCCCGGAAGAGGTGGGGCGCCTCTGGACCTCGGCGGGAGCGGTGGGGGCGGCAGGGGTGCCAGGTACGGAGGAGAGGCCCACGACGCCTGGGAGCACCAGCCTGAACCGCCTGGTGAGTGGGGGGCAGAGAGGGGGCGGCGGCGGGGGCCGGGGGGAGGGACACGGGTAGTGGGGGGGGCGCATGCTCCAGCCCAGCCGCGCTCTCTGCTCGCCCAGGTG